AGACCTGACCACCTGTAGACCTCACATCATAGACCTGACCACCTGTAGACCTCACATCATAGACCTGACCACCTGTAGACCTCACATCATAGACCTGACCACCTGTAGAGACCTCACATCATAGACCTGACCACCTGTAGACCCCACATCATAGACCTGACCACCTGTAGACCCACATCATAGACCTCACCACCTGTAGACCCACATCATAGACCTGAGCACCTGTAGACCCACATCATAGACCTGAGCACCTGTAGACCTCACATCATAGACCTGAGCACCTGTAGACCCACATCATAGACCTGAGCACCTGTAGACCCTCTGGTTGTGTCACAGAGGCACAGTGAGACTTTAACCTCCACATGACCTCTAAATGTCCAAACAGGATTATTTTCTGGAGTCAAAGTTTGATTGTCACCTCTTAATCCCTGGCTGAGGTCGTAGAATCCAGCTTGACCCAGAGCCCACATGATGGTCAAACACTTCACTGGACGGTTCTGGACCGATCGCAACAACTCCAGATACTAACAAACAAACAAACAGGTTATGAAAATGTAGCTGAACTTTGATTAAAAAGACATATTCAGCTGTGCTTGAACAGAGTGGTATAATTTACAGTTGACCATGTGAAGCAGAGAGGAAGTGGTCCGGTCTCTGCAGGACTCACCTCTGGCAGGTTCTGAGAGGCTATCTTAGGCTTGTCTTGTAGGATGGCCTGAATACAAACTCTGTATCCATGAAGAGGCTCTCCTGAAAACAAACACAACTCATTTATTGGTTTGTTTTTATTTATTAATGGTGTTTGAGCTGTAAGAAAGCGTGATGCTGATGAAGTCCACCTGACTGTCGGTCCAGCTCCCTGAGCATTGTGTAAACRCAGTAGTCAAAGAAATCTGGCAGGATGTTGCTGCAGCGCCCCATGAGACCTTTGATAACGCTCCTCAGCTCTTTCCCTGTCAGGCAGTAAGGGTAGTCTGAGACAAAAACAACACAGGGACATGGTTAGACCAATCATTTTAAAGCATGCATGTGGTAGGAGTGCAGCTGACCGTAGGCGTGGCTGCTGAGGGTGGGCTCATGGTCCGGTGCTGTCAGCTTCAGGTTCAGGTATCCTGCCAGGTCTTTGACCCACACTGAAGGGTTTTCAGGGAACAGGGACTGGCTGCGAGCTAACTGCTGCTTCAGGTCCCACACGTCCAACTAAACACAAACATTATCAGAAGTGAAGACAAGCTGAAACACACAGTCACATCTTCAACATGTTACAACCTGATTCTCTGTTTTTATTAATATTCTTTAGTTCTGATGGTCTGTTAGACTGCTTTCATTTGATAACAAAGATCACCTGAAGTCATCTTATCTTCTTAATACGGCTGCACAATGKTAGAAAATCCTGCCATGGTGAYAACATTTGTACATATTGCAGGTTTGTGTTTTTTTCTAATCTGTAATTCCTACTCTGTGAACTTCAGACAAAGATCAGTTGTTTCTGCTGTGAGTTTTTGCTGCCTTTGATGTGGTTGATTATAATATTCTACAGGTTGTGTATAAGGCCCACAGAAACACATNCAGCGTTAGCATGGATGTTACTTTTAGCTTGGTGATAAAATCAGACTGAATAATAATCTGACCTACTTGTTTAGTCTGATGTTTAATCTGAGCCTGCCTCTGACCGGAGGCTCCGGAGCAGCAATTCTGGAAAGAAGCAACAAGCTGGAAATAAAGTATGGACCAAGTAAATTTAGGATTGACACGGTCCACGGCACGTTACTATGATACTATCCAGGACATGGGACATTAAAGAC